AATGTATCAAAACAGGAAATATTGAAATGCATGAAATGTATTCTCGGTATTATGCTGAAGAGGATCGTTGTTACACCTTACACGGATATTCTGATAGAGTGAACTCGTGGGTGTTCCAGATATATCTTCAGTTCAAGTTTGGTTCCATAAAACGTGCTGATGTAAGAGGATGATAAGAGTTAAAGAATAGAAAAGCTAAGACTTAAAAATAATGAGAAAAATAGCTATCATACTTAGACCACGAACAGGACTTTCTGCACAGCCAATTAAACATGGACCCAGTTCAGGTATTGATATATCACAGACATTTTCAAAATTACAAATTTTTCGATTGGGCTTTTGATGTCCATCTGTCAAAAACACTGTTGAACAATCTTGATTACATTTATTCGATATTTTTTTATGATGAGACCAAAACAATACAAAACGAGAATACAAAAGATCGTTATATTGTCTATAATACTGTGGTTGTTCTGTTGTTTGATATCCAGTTGGAATTTCAAATATTTTTTCTTGCGTTGTCGTAAATATAAATCTTAATAATTCAAATATGAACCAATTGTATTGAAATAATTTTGGGTCTAGTTTTAATTGTTGAGTATCATTTAGATGGAACGGTATTGTTTCTTTCAGTATATGAGCATAAGCATCACAATATCCATTGAATGTTAAATGACATTTTAATAAATTAGCCGTAAATACAATGAATGTATTACGATCAAACACTCTTGTACCACCAAAATAAAAATATCGACAATTTTGAATCACTGCTGCGGAGACATATTTTTTCTTTTGAACGTTATCACGGTAATAATTCGGATAATAATCAGCATGACATTTCTTACATGCAGCTTTAAATAACATGACTGGTGTATTATAATCTACACCGATTAATGTAACATTTCTAAATTTTGTAATTGTCAATCTTTCATTACATTGAATGCAAATATCAGTAAATGGCAATAAATTCATTAAACAAATATCATGCGTATCATCGATATTATTTTTATTCCTATATTCATTAATGATTTCTTTGACATTTGTATTATTATCGAATAGATCTTTTAATCTTTCGTCAGAAGAAATTGTTGATATTATATATATAATATCTTCTTTTTGATAAACTTTACTTGAATTTAAATTTATCATGTTTACTATATGTTGATATTTTGTTTTCAATTCATTTGGTATAACTGAGTCTAATTTAATAATGAAACTAATGAGTTTAGCTGGCATTTTTCTTGTCAATTTAATATAAACATATTCAATATCAGACAGCTTAACTTCATAAACATGTGGTTCGGAATCCATAATGATTATATATGTGAAAACAGAAGGATTACTCTAGAAAAAGATTTTAAATTAATACAATATAAATCAGTTCTTCCAGTGCTCTGAGATTAGATTAAACGATTTTCTCAAAGCAGGGATATTCCGAAAGTCCCCTAGATCTTTATATGCAAGTTTCATTTTTTGATTCATTAGAGATAATAGATTAAGAATGATTTGATTTAAGGTGCCGGTAATTCAAAGTTACAGCAAGAAATTTTTTCCGCCTTTTATGCATGATTCGATAGAGCTCATCGAGTTGCATCGGAAAAACACAATTCCACATTTTTAGAAGTCATTTCTTGGTGAAAAAATTTAAAAATACCTATTTTTTGAAAATAAGCAAAAAACCGTGAAATTTTCAAAAATAAGGAAATCTTTCATACTTTTTGTTTTTCTAAAATTCCAAACCTATTTCTTTCTGATTCTCCATCAAAAACGAGTATAAAAAACTGAATTTCAAAATTTCAAAGTTGAAACTGACCGTCAAATCCACGGAACAGGAGCAGACTCGTAAAAACCCTACTGTCAAATTTGCAACTGTATCTAGTTTTTTCCATTGACAGACTAAGTATTAATTGTTATTTCCTTCTAATCAGTATACTTGTAGAAAAAAATGCATGCGAAGTTTTTTTTTAAATTTTGTTTCGTTGCTCGGAGCTCTCCTCGTAATTCTCAACTTGACTTTAGAGCAATGAAAATATCTTATTCAGAATCAGGATTAAAACTGAGTCGACTAATGTGTATTTCGAAATTTTTAATTGATTTTGAAACTCACGCTGTAGTTACGATTCAAAGCAAAGCCGAGCAAAAAAACGAAATAATATATTAATACGATTCCGGTCTACGTATGAATGATACCTGGTTAAAACTTAATAGAAAATCGACAGAACGTCTCAGATTAGATCAAATAGATAAATTATTTTCTGAAACCAAAGCAAGTAGACGGCTTGATTTTTTCGTACGAAATTGAAAAAATATATGCAACATTATCCAACACATTTTATGCTGTAAGTCTTTCTTTTCCCGTGCTTTTCGCTTTATAACTCTATTTCTCATTGTATCTAATCTTATCTTCTAATCTAGTGAGTAGAAATGACCTTATGTCACTAATATTCATATAAGCCTTTACATACCTTCGATATTATTTATGTGCGTGCTTCAGCAAACTATAATAACGAAACAAACATATTTCTTATTATTTTCCTTTGTTTTAAGTGAACACGTAAATACTTATCATTTGTGTTTATGACAATATCAGAAGGAAGAAAAAGAAAGTTTATATCATATATCATTTGATAACTAGTACTTAAGTTACATAACTCATAAATCCAAATTCCATTTACGTAACCGTCAAAAAATATATATTGATGTTAAGTGTGAAGCGATTCATTATTCAGGATATGCCAGTCAAAATATTGATGATCATGGCTAAGCTATCTAATAATATAAATTGTGCGACTTCTTCGATTTGTTTTTTAATACTCATTGTACAGAGTGGTGTGAAACTCATGTAATAACTGTAGCTGGCAAAAAGCCTTTTAGTTTTTGCGAGACGTGAAATTTCAAACAATTAATCAATGAACCCACACGTATTAGTAACGATGGACGAACTAAAACAGCACTGGATC